CCATATACCTTGACCCATGTTTCTAGTTATTTAAAATCCTCGATTACCTAAGACCTTAAATCATTTGGAATGTTGAAGGCAGGCTATCGTGCTAGGCTTCCTCGACACATGTTGTGTTGATTAGATAACTTGATTTATATGGATTTACTACCAAGATGACTAGTGTGGTTGAATCTTTGTGGTTCATGAAGGTTTTGCAGATTATGAAACCAACGAGTATTGAATTACATATTGCATAAGAATACTAAGAATGTATATGTTGTGTGTGCAATAATTGAGTGGGAGCTGCTACATTCCCACGTTTTTTAGCTGCTTGGATATTAAGATATACAGGTGCTAGCTATCTCACGGATCCAGATGATGCGAAGTTTATATCTGGATATGTGTTCATGCTTGGAACGGGTACAGTTTATTGGAAATCAAAGAAACAAGATGTGGCGAAATTATCCACCATGGAGGCAGAGTACGTGGAGTGCTGTTTAGTGGCCAAGGATGCCGTATGGATTGATAAATTTCTTAATCACCTTGACTTGCATCCTATGCGTTGTGAGGCAGTAATGATTTTCTACGACAACACAACGACGATATGCATGTCAAAAGAACCACAATTGCATAAGAACTACATAAAACCATGTTTCTATCACCTGAGGAATGAGGTGAGATTGAAAAAGATCGATATCCAGATAAACTAAATATTCTAGTAGGAGCACCTGCTAATATTTGACTTGCCAGATGGAACAATAGATTATAATGTTGTTCACCCATGTAATCCAGACGTGTGTCACAGGTTGTATAGCTACATAAGGGAGCAACTTATTTGAATAACTCATTTGAGCCCATGAACATACAACCCCATAAGATGAGGGTACATGATGGTGACAACAGGTCCATAATTCGCGATGTGATATGAAAGATGGATTACGGCCACTTTTGAGATGAGATCCGAGCAATAAAGAGAAAAAGGCGTTGCTTCTATAAGTCATTTTGTGAAAGGATTGATGGCGAAAGCTATCATTAATATATTGAGAGAGAATACGTGAAAAATGCTTGAGAGAGAGATTGTAATTGGGAGAGAGAGTTGGGGATGAGAGAAAGTGAAGAAAAGATAATGTAAGGCCTTCAAAGGCCAAGGGGGAGATATTGGGTGAATGTGACTATTAAAGGCCTTATGAGTGCTTATAAAATGAAATAATATAGTAGAATATGAGATCAGTGGGAGTGTGGTCCCTCATGGACCATACTAAGCAAACAGTGTTTGCTGATACCAGATTGTGCTTGACGGTCTAGGCTAGTCGGTTGGGAAAAACCTTGGGCATAGAGTATAAATCGATAAAGGTTTTAATGAGTCATCCCTTGATGATGTCAGAGTATGCCTGGATGAGTGAACTGAGGGACTGTGTGACCTTTGTGTGTGATGGTGGCCTTCAGAGATGGGGGACCAAAGCCTCATTTATGTACCTTCACATGACATGCATATTGATAAACTGTTTCAGGAAAGCAAGCTACCTTTCAGGGTGAAGCGTATACATGTGCGAGAGATACCCTTATGTGTCATTTGAGTTGTGGTCGCATTAGGTTTAGGTGACCTTGACCCGTCTCTAGGTGGCGACTCGGTGTGGAGTGTAATAAGCCCGATTGAAGTAATATTCGATACTCTCTTTTTGTTTCTTGTTATATTTAATTGTATTGGTTTTATATTCCCAAGTATAAAAATTGTAGATATTTTCTTTGTTTAAAGAAAATTGGTTTAATGACATCAAGGTTTTTAAGATATTGGATTTATTAGTTTTATTTTTTTTGAAACAATAGTTATTGTAATAAGACTAATTGTAAGTGATCTTTGCCAAAAGAAAAGAAAAAAGAAAAAGAAAAGGGGTGAAAAGAAGAAAAAAAAATAAAAAATATTCCTAAGCAAGATCGCATTAGTCTTTCTTTCAATAAAAACAACTAACTTAAAGGATTAAACATCCATTTAATAGAGTAACACAAAGGAATTTGAGTTTTTTCTGCAATTCAAACTCACGAAGTAAAACTCCCATGATAATGACCGTAGGACATAGAAACTCAGCAGGCAAGCTAATATACCAGTGTCCCACAGGTGCTTCACATGCAAGACATTATCAAATTTTCTGCCAAAATGATGACTTAAACTCGTAACCATACACCATGGAAAGTTTCGTCACATCAAAATACAGAATATTCAACAATGGAAATGAAATAACATCAAATGCCCATCCTTGTAGCCATAGGCATACCTCACACATCAGGCCATGAGCATATTTGTTTCAGTTTCGCCATCTTGGAGCTACAACAACATCAAGTTGTAACAGCAGAACAATTACTCTCTGATATGAACCACATGGAGGGTGCAAGGAACAGTTACTCTCTGATATCCGCAGTCCATTTTCCTATGGAGGGTGCGAGGATCAGTTACTCTCTAATATCCAACATAACATAATGGGTTTTGGATCCGGCCATACCAATGACATATGGTATAGCACTTCTTACATATGGTATAACACTCGTTACATTAATCTCTTAGGCTCTTAGCCCGACATAATATTGAAATATATTCCATTATTAACATTTGATCCCCAGGTCAAGGATACTTTAATCCAAGCTTAGCACACGCTTGCTGGTGTATGGTCTACCACCCACTGTACCCTAAATGGATGACGTAGATGAACCACAGTCCGATAATTAACATTCAACTCAGCATGATTCGTCTGCACCACACATGTTAGAAATGGATGATGGATGCTCCATTGGTGTACCATCTTATTGATGCAACATTGGTTTGTGTTATGCTTTCCGTTAGCTAAATCTTCTTTTGATATCGTAATGTATATTGTGTCGATCCAAATGTGAACACTACACTCATTTCATATGCTTCGCATCCGTGAATGGTATGAGTCATGTTACGTTGTTTCTTATTTAATTGATGTATTTAATTCATATTTATTTTGCTTGTCATATGTCTGGTGTTGATTTTATTCATGTAATTCGTTTGTATTATCTTTGTTTTGAATGGAGAGAGAGAGAGAAGGGTGGGGTGGGGGGAGTGTGCCAGTGGAAGTGGTCGAGGGGTGGTAGGTGGATGAGATTTCAACATATGGTTCCTCTGTGAGAGAGAGAGAGAGAGAGAGAGATAGAAGGGGTTGAAGTGGGGGGAAGTGGTTGAGGGGTGGGTGGTTGGTGGATGAGATCCCAACATACGATTTCTAAACTTACCCCTGGTACTAAATGATATTCAAATTGTTTCTGCTTGGGTGGTGTGTGTGTATGTGTGCTTGCACTAGAGGTATAAGCCATGGGCATATGGGTTGGCATATAGCTAAGTGTTAGCTGAGATTCAAAACACAGCGAGGTTATATATCGGGCTGAAATTCCTCACGTCCTGAACTTGAAAAATAAACAACTTCCATTAAAAAGGGTTTTAAATGCTTGAATCTACCACCCACTAAATGGACCTTATGCGTTGATCAAAACGGCAGATTATGTTTCCCTTTTTTGTCTGAATTATTTTTTTTTTCTTTTATTTCTCTAGAGGAGATATACATAAGTGCAAATTCCGGAGTTGTACGAATCCCTTCTTCTCATGAGTGGCATATGCTAAGTGTGTTAGTTTTGGCTTATATTATCTTTTTCACATAGAGAGAAAGAGAGAGAGGGGGAGAGGGAGAGAGAGAGCTGGTTGGCATTCAAATTGGTTACCCATCGGGGTTTAGTATAGGGAATCTGTAGGCTTGTGTGTATGTTTTTGTATGTCTGTGAGAGAGAGAATTTTGTAAATCCGCTGCTCATTAATAACTATTTTGTGTATTGTAATGGCTTGTGGATCAGAAAGTGAAGAACCAATCACGCCATTCTCTGCGTCACATGTTCTTGTTCGTAGTGGATCACTTGTTCATCGGACAACCATCAATGCCCCTTCAGTTCGGGGAGAAGGGTACAGATACATATCTCATACATACATAATACTTTTTCCTTTTCTTTTCTTTATTTTGGGGACTTTCAGAACCTAAAAAATGTTTAGCAAAACACAAACTTGAATAATTGAATTGATCCAATGGATGAGTCTTAGGTACCGATATGCACTATAAAACTGAACTCTTCTTGAAGTCATATTTGATGAGAGAGAATTGTAGAGGACTTGTGTTTCTAGCAAAAAATCTCCGACTGCAGTATCCCTAAACAATAATATAACTTTTGATCAACCATTCCCACATACTGCTCTGACATAAAGACGCATCACTTCAAAAGTCAGATTTGTGAGTGAGAAGGGTTGTAAAAAAACTGGTATTTTTTTGAGATAAGGTGACTCGAATTTTATTGCTGACTAGAATTGGAAAAGACTGGTATTAACTGGGAACCTTTTGTACATGGTTTCTTAATCTGCTTCAGTTCTTTGTAGCCATGTTTCGGGCTTTACATTTTATTCGAATTTGTTCAAATGACTATTCTCAAACCAGGTAATTTTTATGTTAATTGGAGGACTCATAACAGAAACTGGTTTGTTTTGCTTGCACTTGTAGTTTCCTTTGGAACCTCAGAAGTCAGCTTCCATGAGATTTTATGGTGATATGGAAGAAGAAAAAGAGGTTGGACACAATAGGGGAAGAAGCAAACAATTTGTTAAAGCTCTGCTCAGCAGGTGCAGATCAGTCAAGTACAGGCAACGTCCCTCTACTTGATAAACACTCTACATCTTTACACAGCCAAGCTTGATGCATCGCAACCAACCACTAGAGATCCATTCCCCCTCAGCTCTTTGGTTTGCTAATTGTCCAGAATTGGTGACTTTTAGGTGCTTACCAATTTTACCTTGAGCAACAAACAAAAAAATATTACTGGGCAGTTAGAGAATCACAGTTGGAACTCCCTTTGGCTTAAGAGCTCATTAGCACGGGAATTTACCTAGGCAAAAACTGTTAAAAGAGGAAAATAGAAGGTGGGTATGCCTGCTTTCACATGCGATGATGTAAATGACGACTTGGATGTGTACAAGCAACATGGAAGGCTTCAATGTATTTTCTTTCTTTTCTGTAGGGCTTTTTTGGCTCGCTTAGTTTTACTAGGTAGAGACACTACACAACACATGGATGAGAATCAAAATCTTGTACATAGGTATATCCAAACTAGTGAAAGGCAACCCAAGGGGCGATTCTTGGGAATAATACCAACAGTCTTGAGAGTGATTTGTTCGTTTATACTTGAGAGCTTTGTGCATGCAAGGAACTGGAAGCAAGAGCAATGATTGCCCGCTTCTGTAAATAGCTGATCATATTTAAGTCATGATCGGGATCCCTCCTTTGGACCAAATTCTTCAATAAGCTTTGTGGCAAGTGTCGGGATATCAACAAATGCACTGAATGATGCACGGAGAAATCTGGCTTCCACTGCCTCGAAATGGCTGAGTCAAGACGACAAGAAACAAGGTTTAGCAAGTAGATCACAAAACTAGGGATTTCATAAGGAGATTACTATGATAGTTGAAGCCAGATAAGAATATGAACATTTCATACAAAAAAATAAAATAAAAAAGATGCAGTCTAGCTTGCATAATGCAGGGGGATTCGTCAATAAAATTGCCTCAAATAGGAAAAAGGAAAAGATAACTCTTATCATATGCTCTATTAATTAAGTCACTCACACTGAAAGCCTTCCATCAGACAACAACATCTGCCTCTTCACTTTATCAGGCTGCAACTGTATCATGATTACATGAAGCAGTGCAAAATGAGATAACCAACAAAAGGTTTAATCAATCAACATGGATGGCTAGAAAGCCCAACAGTTTATTAAAAAAAATAGAAGAATACCCAAAAATAACAATTCTGATCGAATTAATTCCATTCAACATACTCGCCACATTGTATAATGGAAAAAGTTCATATAAGGTCGCAACCTTAAAATGTAAAATTAAGGTGTACCTTAAAAATCCATCAGAAAAGGTCGTTTTGATGTTGGACAGCCCTCCAATTGATCATCTCAATATCGAGATGTATGAATATGTTAGAAAAATAAAAATTTTGAGTACCAAAAGCAGTACATCTTGCAATACATTCTCTAGACTGTCCATTTTCAAGATTCTCATGTGTTTATAGATCTACTTGATTTGAACTATTTTTGGAGTTTAAAATTCCTACTTAGAGATGAATATAGATTATAAGGCCATACAAAGAATTTTGGTGTAAGACAAAATTTGGAGGTGCACCTTACTTGGATTGTTTAAGGTCGCAACCTTATACAAACCATACCCTTGTGTAATTATCTACAAAAATGGACTCAATAATTTTCATCCATGCAAGGAGCTGAATTAACAAATCAAAACTCATGACAGATTATTTAATAGAATAAAAAACACATTAGAAACAACAAATGCTAATTAGCAAAAGCAACAATTTCCCATAAGCATAAAACACTGATCAGCAGAACGGAATAGATCAATATCTTTTTACAGACATGCATTCAGCAAAACTAACATCTCTTGCTAATCCCATGAGTAACAACAACTGAGATTGCAAACCATTCATCAGCACGAAAAAAATGGTTCCAATAATATCATTTATTCAGTGGGTAGTTCTGTACAATCATAAGCTACAAAAGATCCTTCAGAATGGATACATTCAAGGATTGCCTGTGTCATGAATATAAATACCACAATTGTCCTTCAACTGGTGCTCTCTGATTTATTTGGGCACTGACATGTAATGCACTAAAAGAAGTCTCTAGTATGTAATACCAAAGAGGAGTTAAGGAACAAGTAATCTATCACAACCGAACAGCAAGAATCAACAAAATAGGACAATGAAGGAGCACTATGAATGGTTCAATCGGAATTTGGATGGAAATTGTGGAATTGCAAGTGTGCATGAAACAAAAATCTGAGGGTGAAGAAAATGATTCAAAATTCAACTGACAGATAAGTAGCACTTGATGTAATAAAATAGAGACCAGGACATCGGTCGCATTCACCAAAGAAAAATCGAATGTTTCAAGGAATTAAGTTATCTGTAAAATACACAAGGCTGCTCAAAGACAGGAAGCAAGAAAACTAACAACTAACTACTCATTCCCAACTATCAATATAAGGGAGAAAGTAAAGAGGTGATATGAGAAAAAACAAAAAATACAAAAAAAGGAAATGGATTGAAAAATTGAATCTGGAAATAACCCACCCAAATAGGGTACGACCAATAGATAAAGGAAAGGTATAATCCTTGCAAAAGGATTAAATGAGTTCCGGTGAATCTTATTAAAGAGTATTCCTGATATTGACCGTCAAAAATCTACATGTATACAGAAAGACATGGAGAAGATCAAGTGCTTCCAAAATTGACAAATCAGTTCTCCCAAATAGAACAAGTCTACCAAAAATTAAACATAGGGATGAAATTCTCTATTTTTTCGGATGTTGTAGGTGTGCATGTGGGAGGTAGTGTGCATATAGTCATTTTTCTTGCCATGAAATAGTGCAATTTTTTTCCCCCTGTATAAATACACTGCACATGATAATCCAATACATACCTGTTTCTTGATAAGCCACATCATTTTAAGTTTCTCCTAGTCCTCCCAATTTCTTTTTTTGGTCTAAAATGAAAAGGATATGGAATTTATTTTTTTGGTCTAAACTGAAAAGGATATGGGCATTTTGACAGACACAAGACTACAACTCAATTTAAAACCAAGAATGAGAGCCCAAATAATAACCATAAAGGCGGAATATGCAACATGGAAGCCTTCCATTTAATGCATTACCTCCTTATCAACATTTAAAGCTCTAAAGATCATAGAGGCATTTTCCACTGAGCCACAATCCACTTCCAAGTCACTGCAAAAAACACATTGGAAAGATTAAAGACTGCAATTGGATATTTAGGGCACACAGCAGATTGAATTTTTGGAAAGTAAAGACATCACATAACAATATCTGCAGCTCGTCAATTCTACCCTCATTTCCTTAATGTACTACTTATCAACTAAGACATTCATTCTCTTGCCTGAAATAATGCAACTTCTCTAACAGTTTGGGGAACCCAAAATTTTTAAGGGCATGTTTGATTGGTGGAACTTTTTGAGAGCAGGACACCCAAGTTCCACCATATCTCCCTCCTGCATTTAATTATTCTCTGCTCGAAGCCGCAAAGTGGAAATCGCAGCTTCCAACGGGGAGTGAAGCCGCCCCTTCCCCTTCCTTACAAAATTCCATATTTTGGAGAGGGGGCTTTGGCAGGCCCCTTTTCCAACAATCAAACACGCCGTAAAAGAGTTATAAAGAAGTTTGGACACCAAAAGTAAAACTCGTACTTGATGACAGGTAATAAAGAAGAATATCCTCTAAGAAATAAAAATAAAATTTAAGGGGCAGAACTACGAGAGGAAAACTTACCAGGAGAACGGCCACTCTGAGAGGGGCTCGTCTGTAGAATCAATGGAAGGGCCTTCTGTGTTCACAACTATGGCACCCATCACTTTAAAAATAACACATATTTAGTATAGAGCTGAAGTTTTCTATTGACTGATAAGCTTTCTGGATAACAGGCTAACAACTCACATGGCAAACAATTTCAAAGTAAAATCTACCAAAAAATCCCAAATAAATAGCGTCTTTTTCTTTCTTTTTTCTTTTATCCTTCCGAGAAATAGAAAGATGTTATTAGCCGAGGAAAGGGGAAAAGGGGTTATTGGCAATTAGCCTCTTAGAGAAATAAGGAATTACATATAAAAGTGCTGATAAAAGTGAAACTTTCGTCTCGTGCCACAGTTACGTGAGAACACCCTGATAATAATAAAAACAGAATTAACAAGGAAAAGTACACTGGATTAAGCAGATAGACAGACAGACGCACTTGGGGTGTGTTTGATGATTTGAAACCGGAAACACACATCGCTTGAAATTTGGAAGCTGTAAATTTGGATACCTGGTGGTGGAAAGTGCTATGAAAGTACAGTGTTTGGTAACATGTATGGAATCCTAGGGATTTTAGAAACCGGTGTTTGAATAAACCTGGGAATTCTGAAACCTGGAGATCTGGATATTAGCCAGTTTCAACCACCCCCCGGAATATATCAGCAATGATATGTATTCAATCGAGGTTTTAATAGCATGTGTAATCCATGGTAGGTCTATTCAAATGGAGGGATCAGATCATGAAACTATGTAAAAAGATGATCTCATAGAATATACAGGATAATAGAGTCATATGAACAATATTGCTATGCTTATTCTTCAAACCAAACCAAAAAAAAATGTTAAAATATGACAAACTCCCAAGGTTACTGCATCTAAGTTGTATTCCAATGTTTGGAGGGTTATGGCCGAGGAGTTGACACTCCCTCTAACATATCCCATAGCATTTTCATCACAAAAATAAAAATGGTGCAGAAAAAAGGGAAAGGAGATTCTTTTATTTTTGTTTAAAACTTTAAGGCTTGGTTTGACAAAACATAATCTGGATATTCATATTTCTAAAAATATAAATATAGCCATTACCAGTTTTCCATATATATGAATTATAAATTATCCTGAATATGCATTTTTCTATGCATATTTGACTATCCGCCTCTATCTTAAAATTGTTACATCACTGTCCACCTCTATAAATAATGCTACACAATTTAGTCTAGAGAGAAATGTTAATTTAGAAAAAGGGAAACATTAAAAAAGCCTCTCCCATTTACCGTAGCCCTTGAAATTTTTGGATAGAGAGAGGAGGGAGTACCCATTCCAACTTCCTTCACCCCCAAGCCTCCCTCAAAAGAGAGAGAGAGAGAGATACCTAGGTGAAAAGTCTTGGCATACTCTATCGTTCACAAAAAAAGAAGAAGAAGTCATGGCATGGCCTTGCCGGGTATCACATCCATAACCAGATCAGAGCTCTTCTTTTTCTCTCACTAGAGCGGCTTGTGAAACGTTTTACTGTCCTTTCAGCAAAAAGGGTCTGCAGTCCATGAGAGGTGATTGTTGAGAAAGAAATGATTTGCTGTAAGAGAGAGAAAGATGGTTTGCAAAACGTGGAGATCTATAGAAGGCGACAATGAAAGTCGGGATGAGAGATTGGTGTGGGTAGTAGTTGGACAGTTGTATAAGAGGGGGAAGAGTTCAGAAAATTGAAAGAGAAGGGAGATGAGAGATTTCGGCGCGTGAAATTGGCCTTTTTTTTTTTTTCCGTTGGCTCATACAGTTCGGCTCGGCTTGGCTATACTCAACTCGGTTCGGCTCCAAACAGCTCAGCTTGGCTTAGCTCAGTTTACATCGGCGCGGCTCAGTTTTATCGGCTTAGCTCAGCTCATGTTCGCTTGCTTCAATGAAGTTTACAAAGATTTTAGCCGAGTTGAGCCGATAAAAGCCTAGCCAAGTCTAGCTGAGCCAAGCCGGTCTATTTCAAGCTGAACCAAGCCGAAGTAAGCCGAGCCGATTAAAGTCGAGCTGAGCCAATACAAGCCGACCCAAGCCTATATAAGCCGAGCCGAGGCAATGAGAAAAGATAAAATAGTGAAATTACGAAAAAAACTATTAACATAAAATTATATTTCTACGAGAAAATTTGTTCAATTTGAATGAAATTTTAACGAAATTCAATGAAATTTTGAAATAAAGAAATTGTGGAATTTCAGTGAAATTTTGGAAAATCAAACAAATTTTGTACATCATTTTTTATTGAGAAAACTGCATACATATCCGTTATAGTTTCCGTTATTACAACTCTACCGAATAGTCTCCGTTATTACCACCATGTCCATTTTTTCATATTAAAACTGAAATTTTAAAAAAAAAACGACTTTACCCTTTTTTGGTTGTTGAACAACCGAATTCAAAGTATTTTCAGTTGATCAACAACCGAAATGGGGCTAATTTTGATTTTTGAATAAAATTTTTGGTTCTTCAATAACATAATTTTTTTTTTTAAAAAAAAAACTCTCTCTCTTCCCTTCACCAAGCATCTTTTTTTTGGGTAGGTTCATAATCCCTAAGATTTCTCCTAAATTTAGGGGCTCAAACTAGCTGTTCCCCCTGATTTTATCAGATAACCATGACTTCAAAGAGGTAGAGAGAGAATACGCCACAAGATTTCTCCTGATCTTCTAATCTCAGAATCCTTAAGATTTCTTGTAAATTTAGGGGCTTAAACTAGTTGTTCCCTTTTGATTTTATTGGATAACTATGACTTCAGAGACGTAGAAAAAATACGCCACAAGAGAGAGAACATTTTTCAGAAACCAAAAATTTTAAATTTTCGGTTCTTAAGAACCGAAATTGGTGTATTTTTTGAATTCTATTGTTCAGCAACCGAAAAAGGGTACAATCTATTTTTTTAATTTTTTTTTTTCATTTTGACATGAAAAAAATGGACACGGTAGTAATAACAGAAACTATTCGGTAGAACCGTAATAATGGAAACTATAACAGATATGTATGTAATTTTCCCTTTTTTATTTCCAAATTAAATGATCTTTTTTTTTGTTTCAGCTACAAATTGTTGTAAGTCAAACTTCAAATTTTTAGAAGTTAATTAGGTTTCATATCCCAATTCTTTGCTTCCTAATCTAAAATGGTATGAGTCATCTCTTTCCCCTGTGTTTTCTCTCTCTCAAATAGACTGTTTATTACCTCTTTTTTCATCGCCATAGCCGAGCCGAGTCGAGCCAGAATTAGCCAAGATGAGCCGAGCTGAGCCAAAAAGCAAGAAGAGGACTAGATAATAATTAAAATAAATATAAAAAATATTTAAATATATAAAAATAGATGCGGTTAGCATGAAGTATGCCCGCACATGTAGAATGCGGGCACCTTAATAAGATTATTTTTGAAATAAAATTAGGTGCTAATTTGTAGAGAATATGTAATCTTTAACATGGGGATCATGAATATAAAAGAATAAATAAAAATGGAAAAATTGATATAATAATTCTATTATAAAAACATTTGGATCGTTAGTTTCAATTGTTTTTAAATGGCCCACCAATTTGCCTACATCTTTGTACCTCTGGACCGCATATCAGCCAGCATAAAACAATTCATCTTTACAGGGGTAAGGAGAGACAAGAGAAATGACATGTAGGTGTTGTCAATACGAGTTGACCTTAGTTTTGCATGGCATCTCTTCAGGGTTTGCATCCTTGTTGAGGCTTTGTTGAAACTCATTTATAGTGCAAAAATTTCATATATTCACTTCTTGTGTTTCATGAATAAGTTTATTGAGTTTAGTTGGAATGCAACAAACCCAGTTGTATGAACAGTCTTACTTTCAAAATCCCATAAATTTCTCTCTAATACTTTATCTAGAAAGAAAAGATGGTGATGAGAGATTAGAATGCATCTAATCTTGCTATGTGTACATAAGAGAATCCATATGTGCATTGCATGTTCTTTCTTTCCAAGTTGTAATTCAGGTTAATTCTTATAAGTATGGTATGAATATCTTATCTTATAACTAATACTTGTAGGGTTAACTAGATTTGGTGAAACTGAGGTAGGGTTAGAGGAAACAGAAACACCTTCAGAAATTTGTTGGAATTCCAAATATCTAAGAAACTATCTAATATGACTGGCAACAGTAAAACTCGAGGGGTCATTGAGAATATTTAGGAATAGGGTTTTGTTTGTTTCCATCCTCGCACAACACAAACGGTCTTGAGGTGAATGGGGGAATTACGAGGCAACCTAATGTGGTCGATCTTGTAGAAGCAATTCAGTGTTGTTCCCTGCACATACATTACCACCTCACGCTGAACACTCGATACTGATAAATAAAAGAAAAAAGAAAAAAAGAAAACCAAATAATAACATTTTCTCTCACAACAAATATAATGAAACACAAATAAAAAATTACCACATCACTCGCAGTTAGAATGTTCAGTTGACAGACGCATCATTGGACAAGGCTTCTCTCCCTCCACTACTTCATGCTTACACCCCTCTTGAAATGTATTTTTAACCAATTAAATAATCAACCAATCAAAACACTAACCAATCACATTTCTCCTATTTTTAACCAAAAAAATTCCTCTAAAATCCTCTCTCTCTCTCTTTCTTCTGTACTTTACATGAACTTAAAATCATGGTGACATTTATCCGAATCTCTGAGATTATGATTACCACTAACCTCCCTCATGCCTCAACTCAATCCATATACCTACAAATCACATATATCAGATATATACCAATGCTAAGCGACTGGTAATAATATCTCATAAAATGCATGTCTGAAAATAGAATTGGAGGGTTATGTCTTCCCCACTGACTTACCCACAAAAAAAAAATTTGGAGGGTTATGGCCGACATTCTTACCGGCTTGTCATTTCCACGGATTTTGCACTCCCTGAAACATATCCCATAGCATTTCCATAACAGTGAGCTTCTCTATCTGCTATCTCTCATTTAAATAAAAACGGTGCAGAAGAAAGGGAAACAAGATTTTTTTCTTTTCGTTTAACACTTTAAGGCTCTGTTTGACAAAACAGAATCTGGACATTTATATTTTTAGAATATGAATATAGCCATTACCAGATTTCCATATATATGAATTATACATTATTCAGAATATACATTTTTCTGTGCATGTTTGACTGTCCACCTCTATTTTAAAATTTCGTCACATTACTATCGACCTCTATCTTAAAATTGTCACATTACTATGAACGGAAGAGAGAGAAAGAGAAGTAGAGTGAGGAAGAGCGGAGTAACGTAGCTAATTACAGGTTTGAAAACATAGAAACAGCAAAAAGACTCATATCATAGTAGCCAATCAATCTTTTTTTTTTTAGGGAGAGTATAAATAATGCTACACAATTTAGTCTAGAGAGAAAAGTTAATTTAGAAAGAGGGAAACATTAAAAAAGCCTATCCCATTTACAGTAGCCATTGAAAATTTTGATTAGAGAGAGGAGAGAGTACCCACTCCAACTTCCTTCACCCCCAAGCCTCCCTCCAATGGGAGAGAGAGCAATTCGAGAGAGAGAGAAAGCAATACCTAGGTGAAAAGTCTTGGCATACTCTATCGGTCACAAAAAAAAGAAGAAGTCATGGCATACTCTCCTTAAACCTTGCTACATTTATCGTATGCTTCATTGAGGAGTTCCAAGGAAGCAAGCATGGCCTTGCCAGGTTTCACATCCATAACCAGATAAGAGCTCCTCTTTTCTCTCACTAGAGCAGCTTGCGAAGTAAGTTTTACTGGCCTATATAGCAGCCTTTTAGCAAGAAGGGTCTTCAGTCCTCCATGAGCAAAGAAATGGTTTGCGGTAAGAGAGAGAAAGATGGTTTGCAAAATGTGTGGATGTATAGAGGGTGAGAATGAAAGTCAGGATGAGAGATTACTGTACATAGTTGCCAGAGGATTATAAGAGTCCAAAAAATTGAAAGAGAAGGGAGATGGAGAGATTTTGGGAGATGGAGAGATTTTGTGAGTGGGGAAGAACAGATTAGAGAAAGAGGAGAGCGATTGGCTCATACAGTTCTGCTCGGCTCGGCTACACTT